ACTTGAATTTGCTTGAGTGTGTCAGCTGTGCATTTAGTTATACCCAAAGCCAGCATGCAACCTGTATAACCTTCTGTGCAGGTCAGTACTGTGTACATTTACTTGAATGATCATGGGATTACAAATGTACCATATCGACCTAAACATGTATACTCATATATAAGTCCAGCTGAATAAAATGAGATTTAGTGTTGACCCAGAGTGGTTATGACTGCAGTGTTTGAAATATCAGGGAACTCAGCAAGGAGAATTCCTCCTGTGCAAGCCCCACTGAAATAAATCAAACTTTCATAGTGCCAAATGGATTCAAGAGCAGGGCTTCCAGAGGACTGTGCTCCGAGTATTTGCATATGGTTTTAGGCATGCAACAACAGCTGGCTCAAAAGTGATGTCTTCATGTACTTCAATGTAATGGAAACGTTAGTATACCCTATCATCTGAAACAAAAGATTCTCAAATGTTCCACTGGATGTTAAAATGAAATCAAAACTGTTCTAATTGATTCTACAAGGAGTTACAAGGCAAGAGTAATAAGAACAAGCTAGTTACCTAAGACATATATAGTATTTATTAATTCTAAAATTGATCTAAATTCTAATTTTAATTAAATAGAATTCTAAATTCTAATTTTAATTCACTTTTAATTCTAAAATTGATAGCATTTTAAGCATCCAAATACTAAAATACTAGCATTAATATATTAGCATAGGCATTGTAAACAAAGTGACACCTGCCAATAAAACAACCAAAGAAGAATTACTCTCAAGTCTATTAAAAAAAAATTTCAAAAGCTACTCACTTTAAACATATATTTTATTTAAATTGTTAGCTGGGGTATGCTGGGAGTTGTAGGCCTCTTCCTGGCCAATTTTTTACAGGATTGTGCCTTATATTGGGCAGACTTTCATTTCAAGTTTGAATAGACATGTACTCCAGTAAGCTTCATTCCAGAGCATTAGAGAAAAATGGAGTCAACCCTATAGAGATCAAATAACCACACAGATTTCCTTTTGCTTTAATGATAGTGGGTTTTTAAAAAGGTTTATTTGCTCTCCTTCAGTATATCTAATCTGAAACTGGCAGGAAGCATTTTAAGTCAAACAAAACAAATGTACTTCTTCACACAACACTTCTTAAAGATTGTCCATATTTAACACAGGATACCAATTGCCACAGAATGTTGCATGGCCACAAACATTAAAAAAGAATTAGATAAATGGAAAGACAGGTTACGTATATGCTGCAGAAAGTGCACAGAACACAAAAGCCCCACTGAATACAATGGGAAACTGAGTTTATTCCCAATCAGCATGCAAAGAAATTGGGATCTGAAATCTGTAAGTCTGGTTAAGCATTATGCTGCTTTGGGATGTTTCCCCCACTTCGTACCCAAACGATTGAGGGCTCAGCAGGTATGAACTGTGAGCTTAAGTGAGCCTACAGACAACTATGAGTGAACTGTATGCATGTTTAGGCAGAAAAAGTCCTGCTAGGCCCGTAGGGGAATGTTAGGAGTTGCAGGACTTTCTTCTGTGTAAACAAGTGTAGGACTACATCCTAAAGGCTCTGACCATCAGGGGGTTAGGTGCATGTTTGTGAACAACCTACTCCAACAAATACATGCAGGCTATATTGCTATTTAGGGTTCTTAAGGTACTATAAGACTGCTTTTGGGTGCAACAAACTAAAATGGCTACTCAGCAGAAACGGTTGCAGTGGAAGGCATTACTCCACGAAAAGGGCTCTTCCTTTGGAAAAATGCGGGTCAGGAGGCTGTTTTGGTGCTAGGCCATCATGGTTGCTCAGAGTGCCCTTGGCAAAGCTGTGATAGGGAGCAAAATGCAAGCTAAGCCCTTTCAGGTCCTTAAACCTCATATTTTAGGAAGTTTCTTTGAACAAATGGTTGAAGAAGGGATCACGAGGCTGTAGATCCTTGACTGGACAAGCAGATGCAGAAGGAACACTAAATTAGGATGGAGAAACATGAGCCAACAGACTTGAACAAACTGGGCAGACCCCCCCTTGCTTAAAAACTCTGCTTTTGAGGATTTGCCTTCAGATCAAAGGAGGCAATGTCAGTAGGATTTGAATTTTCCCACTGCACAGGTTTTGTACACAAGCAGCATATTTTGGCTGAAGGTTCCTAACCTTAATTGATGCTAAAATGCATCAGGGCGTTTAGTGGTGATAGCAATGTGGTAGGCACAGAACATTTGCTGTAGGATGGGCAGTCCAAAGATTTATGCCTCATATGATTTGATTATGTCTGGAGCTAGGCAAGGTGGAAGCAGTAGGCAGTTACTAATATAAGGAAGCTCAGAAACCTGGAGATAGCATTCACATTTAACAGTCCCTCAGCATAAATACTGAGGTCTTTGAAAACTTCTTGTAGGACTTCAAGAGACAGTGTAATGTCAACATCTTCTCTCAGCCACCTCTACCTCACAAAGTTTCTGTGAAGGCTAAAATGTTGCTTTGAGCTCTTAAGGATGGGATGCAAATGGAGGAAAGCCAATGTGGCACAGGAATTAGAATGCTCTCTATGGTGGGGGGGACCTGTACTAGAACAGCAAGGTGGCTAGATTGTGTAGGTCTAGAGGCAGAGCAATGTAGTGGTTAACAGCACAGGTGATCCAGGTTCTAGTTCCTGCTGGGCCATGGAGCCAACAGGATGACTGTGGACCAGTCACACACTCTCAGCCCAACCTACCTCACACAGTTGTTGTAGTGCGGATAAGACTGAGAGCAGGAGGAGGAAAGTTATGTAAGCCACTTTGAGTTTGTTGTAAGGAAAAGGCAGGATATAAATTGTATAAATAAATAAGCTTATAACAGTGGCAACAGTGGTATCAGTTGGATTATCAGAAGAAGCCAGTGGCTATTTAAACTACAACTGAGAAGATGTGGGTTCAATTTGACCTCACATGATGACTTTGAACTGGTCTACTCTAACCTACCTTGAAGGATTGTTCTGGAGAGGAGGAGAATGATCATGTAAGTTCTCCTGGATTCTTTGCAAGATATAAATGTAGCAAAGAAACAAATGTAAAATTATCAATGACTTACAACTCTCTCCACATGATTTGTCCATTTAGAAGCCCAAAATCAGCTGAGGATGCTCTGTCATATTATAAGGAACATGTTTGATTCTCTGGAGATGGTCAAGCTACCTTAGCAGAGCATGTTCCTTACACACACACACCACTACTAGCAGGAAAATCTGTTGAAGAGAGACAAGATGACTTTCTAGAAAGCTCATCTACCATTAGTAATCTTTTCACTATGGTCACATTTTGCAAACCTATGGAATGGAGGTGGATTGTTCCCATTTATTCATATCAGCACATTAGGTGACTCATATGACAGGAAGAAAGTTACCACAAATTTCCTTACAGCCTCTCAAGTGGGGACTATAAAAAGCCAGAATTAAAGCTCAATGCATCTTAAAGGAAAAACAGCTAAAGCTCAGATTGGCACTGATCCCGTGAACTGATATGGAAAGGAGTGCTTCCCTATCCATACTGCAGCAGGAAAAGGAAATGAACACAGCAGACAACTAACGAGCATCTCTAGGCAGAACACATAAATTCTTCGCTTATCTGCAGGGACTGCAGCCTGGCAAGCTCTTTCACTCTGTGCTGCTAAAATACATGAACTGCAAAGCCATGCTGGGTTGATGGGGTGGGAATTCCTGCACCTTTCTAATTCTCAGCAGATTCTTGCCACCTGTCAATCAATCAAATGCATCATGAAGTGAGCATGCCCAGTGATCCAGATGACATCAGTTTGATCAATGCTGAGAAATGAAAGGCTGCAGTAGCAATGGGAGGCAACTAGAAGAGTCAATTGGGGTTGTCTCCATTCAGTTCCCCACCACTGCTCTCCACTGCAGCTATGAAAACACAAGGAATTCACCCAAATGGGACCTTACACAGCAGGTTTCTTCCTTTAAGACCACATCCAGAGGAAGGATGATTAACGCTTTGTGGCATGATGCCAACATTTTTACAAGTGTCAGCATTAATATGTATACATAGCAGCCCTATGTATGACTACTCAGAAGTAAGTCTCACAGAGTTCAATGGCATTTACTCTCAAATAATTATGTACCAGATTGCAGCATCTGGCCAATAGGGGTGAGGCACCATAACATTAGCGAGACAAAAATCACTTCAACGAAGGTCAGGAAGGGAAGGAACACAAGGAACCCTCGCATTCCGTGGCTTTTTGGCCTCAATGTTTCTATCACATACACGCACCCCGTTTCTCGGTCCATACCGCTCACGACAGCCTGCCAACTAAGGATAACACTTACTGTCTATCCCGGCGCGCCTCAGGCGTATGCCACAATGAATGTTTGTCTGTCAAAGGTGCCACATGACTCTTTGTTGTCTCTCCTTATCTATGTTAGACACATGCAAAGAAACTTCCCACCCGCACACCAAGCCCTTCCATTTTCTAAACCCGGTATTATTGCTCTGTATGAATTAAGTGATCCACAACCGTTTTTCCCATCGCAGCTTGCCCATTCCGGCTAATGGAAACGAGAAGCGGCTATTCCCCTTTGGGACACCCCTCCCCGCTCCCAATCTCCAAGTTTAGTATCGAGGGAGGGGAAGCGCGCCCTTGTCCTCCCGTGCAGGGGAAGGAGCGTCCCCTTCTCTCCCTCGCCCAGCTGGATCTTGGCCAAGGTCTGGAGCTCAAGGTGAAAGCAGCCTCGACAGGGAGGCAGCCAGCACACGCCGGCGCCGCGAACAATGGCCGGGCGAAGCAGCACAATGCCGAGCGATGGCACGGCACGGCTCGCCACGCAGGGGGCCCGCAGCGATGCTGCGGGGGCGGCTTGGGAGCCTCCTCGATATTCCTGCGGGGGGGAGGTTGATTTGGGGGCGAAGAGGAGGAGAGCCGAAGGCACTCCACCGCCCTCCGGTGAAACACGCACACGCACACACAAGCACTTGCCCGCAAAAAAAGCCAGAAGAGGCGGCGAGGACGCTTACCCCAATGACGACGGTGTCCTCGCCTTTGAATTTGGGGATGAATTTGTCCCCGCGGAGGATCTCCGCTTCGTTGAGGGGCCGGAACCGGCACATCACTTTGATGCTGCATTCCGCGGGGTCCGCCATCTCGCCGCGGGGGAAGGAAGCCGCGGCGCTCGGGGCCGCCGGCGCGTGGCCCTCCCGCCTCCTTGGGTTGGGGCCGCCGCCGCCGCCGCCGCTTCGAGGGCGCTTTCAGCAGGCCAGGGAGGGAGCGAGCGAGGGAGGGAGGCGAGCCCAGTCAGCGGAGAAGGCGGAGGCGAGGCATTGCCGCCTGCCTCGCCACCACGAGCGAGCCTGCCTGGACGCGGCCGGGCACTTAACCCCCCCCCCTCAAAAGTGGGGCGGGGATGGGCCGAGGGAAGGGGGCGCGAAGCTTAGGAGCTGCGGCTGGATTTCTTCAGAGGACGGTGGTGGCCACTACAAAAGACGTGCACGGATTGATAGAAATTCATGTAGCGATTCCAAGTCTTGGGAATGGCAAAATCACGCCGGCCGGCCGGCTTCCCCGCGACACGCTCAGCCCCTGAAGCCTCTCGCCAGCGGTGCAAGCCCGGTCGCTGCCGCCTCCACCCACATCCTGCATCCCCGCCTGCGAACCACCGTCTCGCTCTTTCCCACTCGCTCCCTCAAGGGCTTTGTGACTTCACCGCATTACATCAACTCTCATAGGCTTGAGGGGGAAAGAAGTGACCGGTGCATGCTGGGAGCTGTAGTTCTTGAAACGACAGGTGGAGCGGGGAGGCAGGCGCGGTCGGGGAGCGGCAGAGTGGATGTAGCGCCAGCGTTCCGCTGGCTAGTTTGGCGCATGGAGAATGCTCTGTCTTACTTCTGCATCCTATAGGAAGTGCATTTCCGGTTAAAGGGCAATGGCACATTTTTCGTTTGTTAGCTACCCCTGTAGCTTAAAAAGCTCTTGTCTGAGGTCTGAAAGAGTAGTTGGTGTTTTTATTCTCAGTGTCTTGCTCTGTTATAGCAAACTGTCTTATGATCTAGCTCGGTATGGTCGACACTGAGTGGCAGCTGCTCTCCAGCATTTCAGCCACGATTCCTTCCCAGCCCCAAGTAGAAATATGGGCCATTGCACCTCTGACCTCCGCATGCAAAGCAGGTGGTTTCTACCACTGAGCAGTGCTCTTCTCTCTATCAGAAAACCGGGATGCCTGTCACAAGGTCTTTCGCACACAATGGCTGGATAGAGGAGATAACATACCGATTTGTGTGACCATCTACTGGTTCAACAAACTCCGTTCCCAGGCACATCAGTGGAGGACTACTATGCTGGGAACAATAGATGGCAAAAGAAGGAGGGGACGGCAGAGGATGAGGTGGCTGGATGGAGTCACTGAAGCAGGCAGAGGTGGACTCCGGGGGACGGTGGAGGACAGGAAGGCCTGGAGGGATGTTGTCCATGGGGTCGCGATGGGTTGGACACGACTTTGCGACTAACAACAACAGCCTTTTAATGCCCCCATTTAGCAACTGAGAAAAGAAATTACGGTTGCCCTGTCAATATTCAGAAAAGACTCCTCAATAATCAATTCAGGCCTTTAATACTAAAGGTACTGGAATTGGGAATTAAAGCATTCCTACATGAGTACTACCTCTTTCTTCCAAAACTACGAAATGAATAGTATAAACAATTTTAGGAAGCCATGTTCCTCTCACACCTCCCTCACCCCTTCCCTTCATTCATACAAATATCTTACAGTTCAGTCTTACTGAGAACTAAGCTCCATTGAGTTTAGTGGAGCATCATGTCAAGTGAATGGGTGATTTTAGTTTACTTGTTTAGAGGTCAGGGAAAGATATGCACACACACACATGTTAAAATTGCACACTGCTCTGTGTTAGATGAATTGATTTATGTGATCATGAAAGAATAGTATTTGACATTGCAATGAAACAATATATATATACATTTTTCAAAAATAATATGGCATCGCTTTCATTTCAGATTGCTACCATAGCAATTCTATGTTAATATGGGGCAGGGAAACAGGTTCCTATGCATTGTTCCATACCAATATTCCAATCTTGAGAAAAGTGATTCAGTGTGCAACCCTAAATCCAAGGTTTACTTGCTTATGGAAGCATGCCATATTGATCTCCCTGAGATTTGCCTTTAAGGAGATATTTATGAGATTGCCCTGACATTACACCCTGGAAGGAAACGGTGTTCAATTCATAATATTCTAGAAGAAGGTAGATGACTGGAAGTTCAAATCAAAAGAAGCAATTATGAAGATCACCCAAATCACTAGTCTTTAGAAGTTGATGCCTAGCCCCCTCCTTTCAAAGACTGAACTGCTAGAGAACTTGGAAAAGATGAAAACCTGAAAGATCACAACTTCAGCTGCACACATTAGTGAAGTCTTTAATAGGCATATCAAAAATGACTTTCAAAGACCATGTGAAAATGATTTATAAGAAGAGAGAGAGCTCTAAAATTATTCTTCATTTGTGAAGCAGATTCTAGAAAATATAATACTATTATTTCTATATTGCTCAATATAGAAATATTGAGCCTCCTGGGTTATTTACATGTTGTCCCTAATATGTTAGGATCCTTTTAATACATACAGCAATTGCATTATACATGCTGGAAGATGGTGTTGTTCCACTGCAGAAGAGAACTGAGTTGATACAAGCTGCAGCATTTTTCAAAAGTCATGTTGGCTCCAAATGGCCAACAACTTTTAATGCTACCATTTGCTGGCTTGTGCTTTGAAGCTTCTGAATCATAAATGAACCGCCTCTGGAAATCTAAACTCTTGCCAATTGATCAGGGTCATATATTTTCCCTCTAGCCAGGACTAGGACATTCCTGCTCCCTCATCATTAGCTTCAGTGCATATTTTGTTGACTAGTGATTCCTGCGGGATTTGATCTTTGCAAATCTCTGCCAGCAATGACCTGATCTGAAGCTCTTACGAGATGAATGTGCAGATCCCATTTAGCCATCCACCGGAAGAAATCCATTCCGATCTTATAGATTTAGTGTGCAATCCTCCAAAATTGTACTACTGGAGCTGAAGGGTTTTTTTTCTCATCTAAAAATATACAAAAAGATCACACATTAAACGATTAGCCTTATTCTGAAGCTCATTTTTTTTTAATTTCTGTCTCTCTGTGTTGTTTTGGTTACAGATTCTTTAAATGGCATTTTTGCTTCCTTTTCTAAAGAGCACTTTTAGCTGTTTTTAAGCGAAGCAAAGAATGGTATTTAATTGTAACACTATAATAAAATGCTTTTTACTAGTACTATTATTATTACATTGTATTTCTATTCCCTCTGTAGCCAAAGCTCTTTGAGAGGTTCTCAGTATTTGAGTCACCCACCCAGATTTCAACCAGGCTCAGCCCTGCTTAGCTTCTAAGACTAGGCAGGATCAGGCACTTCAGGTTATACAAAAGCTTTTTAAACTTGTGACGTTGTACTGTTGTATTCTACCACTTTGCCAACATGCAGTTACATGGAGGGAAAGCAGGAAGTGAAACGCTCCTCCTGAGATGCTTAGAACACAATTCTGTGCTGAAATTGAAAGTAGATACCTCAAATTAACATCCTTGGGTTAAAAACCTCTGACTCTTTCTGACAGAAGCAGGATTTTCTCCCCACCCAGTTAGTTTTGTGCCTCTCAACTTCCACAAGCTCTGGTTTAGCTGCCTCCCGTTTGCTAGTTTGCATCAACTCACCTTTCTGGGCTGCATCAGTCAGCAATTTGCCAAAATGGTGGTGGGATGGATAGCCAGAAAACCACTGCGGAGTGTTTGGAGCACTTCAGATGCGAATTGTCAGTCCAGCCCTTACAACTCTTTGGTGGTAAAATTGGTTTACTCTTTGGTTAGTAAAACTGAAGACAGAAATAGCCCATTGCTTAAAGTACCCTGATGAATGTATGTGCATTATACCTTATATTTAAACTCTATTTATTTAATTATTTATTGCATTTGTATGCCACCCCATAGCCAAAGGATATTTATTTATATTCTGCCCATTTTCCTCTTGCAAGGAACCAACGATGGCTTACGTGATCCTCCGCCTCTCACAGCAACCCTGAGAGGTATGTTAGGCAGAGAGGGAGTGGGAGTAGAACCAGATCTCCTGAGTCCCAGTGCAGCGGTCCCAGTGCAGATACACCACACCAGCTTACGGACAGCAGAGGTGAGGGGCCTTCATGGTCCACAATGGGTCTGTCATCCCATTACTCTGAGAGTAATATTTATTGCACTCAGCTGGACTTACTTCTGGACACCTATTTATTTCTTTCATCTGCATGCCATCCAATAGCTCTCTATAGGAGACACAGGGTTGTGCTGTCAGCCTCTAAGCCTACTTCTCTTGGAGCTCTGGCCTCTGTTCACAGTGACTGCAGTTCTTGGATCAATAGTCACCGTGCCTGACTGGGCAGCTTGAGAGCTCTTGCATCGGTACTTCTGTCGGGGAGCCAGCTACACAATATGGAACCGAAGAGAGTGATATTGAGGAACACAGCACCCCAGGTGTGGGGGAATCTGAGCTTTTTCCTGAACTCTTGGAGGTGGGTGGCTCTATGCCATTTATATATGGGCCACCAGCAGCACCGGCCAAGCTGAATGGGCGTGTTTTAGGGAGAGGGGCGTGTGGTTGCTAGCTATGAAAACGGCAGAGTGATGGAGTTTCTGTTTTGTCTCAGAGAGCATTTCTCCGTGTAGTTTTAAGACATATTAGGCAGGAGGGGATCAGTGACCAAAGGGAGCTTGTTGTACAGCGTCATCTTTTAGAACTCTGCTGGTCCTCAGATTAGTTATTGTTTGAGAGACTTTTCCATGCAGATTATTGGATGCTCTATTTGACGTCTGACTGGACAGTTTTCACTAGTAGTGAAGTCCGCTAAACACACGTGTATGCAAATTTAGAATTGTGGAAATTTCCTTTACTTTGTAAAATGAATGGAATACTTAAACATACATTTTAGGTTCTTTATCCACCTTTATTAGAACCAAACAAAATGTTCCAAAATAGTTGACAAGCTTCTGAGTTCTAGGACAGGGGGTGGGGAATATATCTGATACTGAAGTCACAGAGTTTATTTAACCTTAAAATGCAGTGTAGGAAATTATTCCAGATTTGGATAGATGA